TCCCCGATCCCCCAACGGCTCCAACCGCCGCCCGGTCCCGTCCGACGGCGCCATGAGGAGCCCGCGCTGCGTCCCGCGGCTGCTGCTGCTGCTGCTGCTGCTGCTCACGCCCCCAGCAGGAGACGCGGCGGTCATCACCGGGGTAAGTAGCCAGGCGGGACCCACCTGTCCCCTCGCTGTGCGCCCCCGGGGTGCGTCCGGGGCCGGGGAACAGCTGAAAGGGGGACCCTCCCCCGGGGGTGCGCGAGGGCCTTCCCATGCGTGCGTGCGTGCATGCGGACACCTGTCTTCGTTGGCCTCGGCGCCCCTGGGGCCAGTGCGACGGGGAGCCCTGCAATTAAAAAAAAATGACCGGAGCGCTCCCCCCATCAACGTCTCTCCCCGCCACCTGGCTCTGCTTTGCCATTGAGCCGAGAGAAGTTTCTTTTGACGATCTTCTCAAGTTCTGTTCGAGGCGCTGGAGCCCCACTCTTAGATTTGGACGACCCCTCCCTGAAATGCAAAGCAGTACGAGGAGCCCTGCCCCTCCCCCCGCCCCCAGCCACTCCAGGCTTTATCCGGCGCTCCCCACACGTCCGTCTTCCGCAGAAACCCCCTTGAAATAACTTGGGTCAGGGCCATCTGAGCGATTTGAAAAGCAATTGAGAGCTTTTCATACTGGGTTCCGGAGCTTCCCCACCCCTCCGCGTCCCCCCCTACTTTTTCTCCTAAAGTGGTCTTGGGGTCTTCCACCCCCACCCCGGTGAATGTTTTCCCTTTCTGATTCCCGATCGAGGACCTGGTGCCCAGTGGTGTCGTGGACAGCCACTGATCACACTTACTCGAGGCCACGAGGCAACTGACCCCTAGTTTTGAACAGTTTTCCTTTCGTGTTCCAGACCAAAAATGAGCTTATGGCCACAGAATATAAAGGCTTAGTTTACACCAACGATGCAAAACCTCTCCTGTTTGCTGTTTGTCCAGCAGCTTCACGGTTCCTAAGGGCTAAAGTAATTTACTTAATTAAACCCATTTATTTACTTCATTAAATCACTTCAAATACGGAAGTGCACGTTGTAGGACTGTAAACATATGTATTTGGAAGGGTTGATGCCAAGATCATGAAGTGCCCTTTTACTGAAAGGAAATGCCACTGTCTCTTGATACACATAAAATTATTTTGTCTCTGGATTCCTTAACAAGTGTAGGGTATTTTGAATGATTGTGTCTGGTTATATCCAGTAGCTATTTAATTATATGCTTTGTGGTGTTTATTAGAATAGAGACTTAAAAAAATATTTGTATAGCTGTGTCAGTAGCAAGTCTGTGTATGGGAACAAAAGTTTCTACAGGTCTTTCTAATTGAAACATGATTTTCCCCCCTCTTCCCCTGCTGGTCCATTTTAAATGACTCTTAATCCTCTGAGCCCGATTCCTTTGCAATATAAGTATCTTTTTGTTCCATTCACAGAATGACACTCTTTGAATAGACGTGCAATGGGTTAAGGATGTGGGGCATTAGGAAACAGTTGTCCAATTAAAAATATATAAACTTAGGCAATTCTTTGTAAGTTTCTCAAGAACTGAAGCTCTTGTTACAAAACCATTTTTTTTATTACATTGGATATTTATCTGCCGGAGAGATTCACATAGGGCTTATTGTATAGTTGTGTGCTGTTGTTGTTTTTGTTGTTGCTTTAGCCCAGTGTTACAAAAAGAAGATTGTTTTTAAGGCTCTCTAAAGCAACATAGCAATAAAATGTAGTTATGTCTCCCTGACAGGCACCATCTGGATTCAAATGAAAAACTCAATGACTTACCTAGATTTATTGTGTTACAGGATGCTAACCTCTAAGTGATTGATTGAATTTTAAAAGATTTTGGCTGGATTTTTTTTTATTGTCTTATACAAAAAATTGGTGGGGTTTGAGAATTGAGGATATTGAGCATCTGTTGAAATAAAATACTAGCTGGAACTTCCACCTTAAGTATTTAGTTTTTTAAAGTAATATGTGTGTATGCATTCTGAAATTGATTTATATATTGATATAGGTTTGTTACAATAACATTGGCAAAAACTGTTGACTTTCATGTATGGAATGTAGTGATCATATATGCAGATTCCTGACATACTGATAACATTTGGACAATGGAAATGTTTAGCTATTGTCCTATAAAATACAAACCACTCCAAGTGAACATCATGCCCTTCTAGCTGCATGTGTGTTTTAAATTGACCGAGGAAAAAGAAATTTCTTATGAAGGAAGTAAACAACTTTCAAAGCAACATAATAAATTGGCCAGTTATAATGAAAATAATCCTAAGAATGTGTCCACAGATTTATGTATTGAGAGGTTATATGAAAGAACTGTTTCAGTTCTTTCCAATAAATGTACATTTAAGTTTATGCCTAAACTTTTACTCCATTGCACAAGTAGTATAGGATACTTTTACCTTATCACTCACAGATCAAACAAAACATCCTTGTTTGTGTTGGGTCTGGGCAAGAAAATAGTTCTTCAGATCCATTTTCATGGAGATAAATTTGGACTTCATTGTTTTCATTCCTTACTGTGTAGAAAACTCCTCCAGAGCTGGTTCTGTGGTTGTATGTACTTACAGTTTTTATACCTGGAGCAGGTGTCCTGAGTAGTTACTGTTGCCACTTGCATATGCTAATCTGGTGGATTTTTATGGGAGTGCACCCCCCACACTCTTGTACTTTACATATCAGGATATTCCAAGCCAGCAATGTCTTTGTGTTGAGTTATTCATCTAAAAAAAGAAGAGGATATGGCATATATCTTGATCTGTCCATTTCTAATGTCGGATCTTTCCTTCAAGAGGAAATGGTGCAAAACCAAGTTAGCTGTGTGAAAAACAGCAAGTCTCATGAACCAAAATGCAAATATTTGAAAGGGAAAATGAGCACTTCTGAAATTTACATCAGTGTCTTTATGCATCTGGAGTATTTCATGCCAGATTTAGAGACCGTTTAAATCTCTTTTTAAAAATTAGGCCCAATGTATTCTGCAGTTAATAGTCATAAAATCCCGTGGTTCGATTTATGTAGTTCCTAATGGCCATGTATATTGGAGGCCTAATATAGACTCATTCTTCAATGTCAACACTAGTTCAGCCATAAAATGCTAGAGAAAGAGAGCTAATTTTTTTTAAATGTCACCTTTAAGATTTTCATCGTGTGGGGGCTGTGATTTAGCCTGTAACTGAAAAAACTGGAAAAATCAGATCAGATTTCATTGTAGAGCAAATGAAGCTGATAGTTCTTTTCTGCCCACGTTTTATTGAAACCGTAGCCTTTCGATATTCAAAGAGTATTTTCTCAGCTAATCTCCAATTTTCCCCAAGTCTCTCCTGCTATCTACATCCCTGTGTTTCTTTCTTGTCTTGCAGGCCTGCGACAAGGACCCCCAATGTGGCGGAGGAATGTGCTGTGCTGTTAGTATCTGGGTTAAGAGCATAAGGATTTGCACACCGATGGGCAAATTGGGTGACAGCTGCCATCCACTGACTCGTAAAGTTAGTATCTGTGTGTACCTTCCCAGTGCGTCTCTGTATTGCCGTACCTTGACTTCTAGCAAGAGAGCGTTAACAATGGATAATGTATACAATGAATTGTACCCTCAGACTTCCTCTTGCAGTGACTTTTTTTCCTACCATTGTTCTCATGGTATTAGAAATACTACCAAAGTAATTTGTAGTACATGGACTCGTGAGGAATTACATTGGACAAAAAAAAAAAAAGTGTTATCCACGCGCATGCGTCTTTGCAAAACTCAAAGTATCAACGTGGTAGAAAAGACTTGACCTATTGATAAGACAGAAGAAAATAGGTATATGTTTAGCTTTGGTGAGAAAAGCACCAATAATGTAATTATTCTTATGCTTTCTTGTTTTGTGTTATTTCTTGGACACAAAGATCTTATTATTTATTTCAGGCTGACCTGAAAACTCTATGTAGCCCAAACTGGTCTGGAACTAGTGGTCTTCCTGCCTCAGCCTCCCGAGTGCTGGGATTACAGTCCTGTATCACCATGCCTGGTCAAGTACTGTTCTATTATTTTTTCCCTCCGTTTCTCCAGGGTACATTGGTCCTGATTTTAGAAATCAGTGACACTTTCAAATTTCAAATGATCAGGTTGGCAAAGCAGTTGGCAGTGAACAGCATGACCCCAAACCTATGGGAATAGACTGGACCCCATTTCAGAAACTGTCCCTAGGGGTTGCCGTAGATTTGCATTACATCAGGAAGCTGTGTGGACCTGGAGTGTCCTTGCCCTGTACGTGGTAACACAGTATGGGCTCAGCAACATCTCCCAGGATGTCTTCCTTTGGTCTACCTATCAGCCATTCAGAGGCACAGAGAGGAGATCCAGGCCAGGAAGCCTGTCCAGAGCTCAGCTGTGCTGTTGGGGGTGCTCATTGTACATTGTATCCTCTCATTCATTGGAAAACAGATTGGATATTCTTGAACCAAGCAGAATTCTATCTCTTGCCCACTCCCTCCCCCCTTTTTTCACATATGATCAAGATGTACTAGAACCAGACATCTTGCCTGTCATCCACAGTCCCTGGTAATACTATTCTGATCTTCTCCGCATGTTGCTGAGGTTTCCCGGTGAGGGCTGGAATGTGGATGATGGTTGTTTGGGGAGGAGTGGTCAATCCGCAAACTTTGCTTGCTGCCGGCTTTCCTGTGGTTGCCTTGTGAAATGCTTGGGGTTAGGCCTAAGTGATGCTTCCCTGGGGTTTCGCCATTCCACAGCACTCACTGCTAAACGTGACATGCACCTTTTTACTCTTGGACACTTTAAGACAGAAAAGGTTTCAAACTGTATGAGTCATCTGCCCCAATGCCAAACTCAACACAAGCAGGTGAGGCTGCAGCCCCGGTGCCTTCGTCCCTCTTCCTGACTCTGGGCCCTCCTTCCTAAAGGCATTGTCTGAAACGTTTTGCTTTTTCTGCTTTAGGAACTACCTTTTTATGTATTGTTGGTATCACTCTGTAGAGGGAACAGAAGCAACAAGGCTAAGCACGTGGCTTGTGTTAATAACAGTAATGGTTGGGGCTTGGTAAGGGCAGCAATGTGTCAGATACGCTGCAGTGAACGTCTTCTCTGTAGTTCTTGCACAATTGTCACTGCAAGTCTGAGCGCCATGGAGGCTGATCTTTGTCACACTCCACATAGGACAGCACTAAGCCTCAGAGGTATTCACTGGCTAGCTGGGGTCACACAAGCTCTATGTAAGAGAAAGTACCCCAGGTACCCCTTCTTTCTGTCACTCCAGTCTGTGTCCCTGGGCTTTTGTGCTCATGTGGCTTCCAGTATATGAGCCACAGCTCCACTTCTGGCTTTTTGATGGTTAAGTGGAGATAAGAGTCTGGCAGATTGTTTTTCCCAGGCTGGTTTTAAACTGTATTTCTCAGATTGAGGCTTCTGGGTAGCTAGGATGACAGGCATAAGCTACTGGCAACCCAGCTCTGATGTTCTGTTTTTATCCACCAGTCTAGGAATGAAATCTTTAAACAACAGATTATGGTTATCATAATAAAAATGAAGCATTCAAATCATAGACACACTGAGTAGAAAGGTTTTTGAGACCAGGTACTGGTGGCTCATTTTGTAAGATTCTTTTCTCCGCTAAGGGACACTTTCATAACACCTGTGAGCGCAGCCAAGACAGGAATTAGGCAGATGTCAGCTCAGGCATGCACCCAGGTAGACAACAAAAATAACCAGCAAAAACCAAGGTTGGAGGAATGGCTCAAATAGTAGAGCACCACTCTAGCAAACATGAGGCCCTGAGTTCAAATTCCAATACAAAAGAGAGACAAGGTTTCAGATTAGGTTTTAACCTTCTCTCCATTTAAATGTCTACTTGAAAGGTAGCTAGAGTGTGATTTTATAACCCTTTTTTCCATATTGAAATTGGGATATTTTGATGAGCTTTTTAAACACTGGGTACCAGAGTTATTATTTGTTCCAAATGAAATTACCTGTTCTGGGGGGAAATGTAATTTCTTCCATAATGTCTCTGAACTATATTCTCTTCAAAATCAATCAATAAAAAAAGGTTTTCATAAACATACATTATGAAACATACACAGATACATGTTTACTAAGAAAGGACAATATTTTCTAAACACATTCTCCTTGGCAGTACTAAGGTTTAAACACTGGGCCTCGAGTTTGCGAGGCAAGTACCCTAATCCTTGAGCAATGCCCTCAGCCTTTCTTGCTTTCATTTGTTTTGAGGGTCTCACACTTTTGCCCATGCTGGCCTCAGACTTTGATCCTCCTGTTTCCCTCTCCAAGTAGCTAGGATGATAAGCATGAACTAACAGACCCCACATATTACTGAAGTTAAGGTCTCACTCATTTTTAACTTTTGCCTCCAACTGAAATCCTCCTGTCTCTGCTTCTTGTTCTAAATGCAATTTAGAGTAAGTAACAGTTTTAACGTATTTATTAACACATAATAAATGCATGGCTTACACAACCTTTGTTTATATTGTTTGGTTTTGAGACAGGTTCTTAAACTCACTGTCTTCCTGCCTTAACCTCAGCAGTGCTAAGATTACAGGCATGTACCACCAAGGTCGACTAGCCTGTTGCCCTTTCGTAAACCCCATTTTCTCTGTAACAGTATTGCAGTTTGAGTGAGAATCATGCCATTGCAGGGTGGGGAAGTATGAGGGATTGACCTCAGGGCCTCCTGCTTGCTACAAATGCCACATCTCTAGCCCTAAGAAACATACGTTTCTGAAAGCTTTGGTAACTGGGAGAATTTGCTGCTTGCATTTCCAGGCTAATAGGAATTAAGATTGAGTATTCAAATGATTTGAAAGTAAACTGTCAAGTTTGGACTGAACGTACTGTGGCAAGCATTTTTTTGTGTAGCCGTAGCTATGAGATACCTATGGGCTTGGTCACCTGATGTTGGGGAATGCAGTAGTGTGTATAATCTCAGCAGGCGTAGTCACAGACGGCAGGGGAGGAGGGATAGGACCATGTCTGGTGCTATTAAGAAAGGCTATATGGAGAAAAGGGGAGATACACACACTGGATCTTGAATAAGGCACCTGGGTTTGAATAAGAGAAGGCAGGCAATCTGGAGTCAAGGGAACTGCAGCGTTCTGTTAATCCTTACGTTCTCTGTAATCCTGGAGGTAGATTATGTTGTTGCCTATGTTGAATTTTTAATAAGCAAAAGAATACAACCACACCTGTAATCCCAGCTACACAGAAAGCTGAAAGGGAGGATCTCAAGTCAACCAATACAAAGCAAAAACAAACAAACAAAAAACCTGGTCACTGAGCAGGGTGGCCTATACCTGTCATTGCAGCTAGCCAAGTAGCATAAATAGGAGGATTGTAGTCCAGGCTAGCCTAGACAAAAAGCAAGACTCTATCTGAAAAATACTGAAAGCACAACAAATTGAAGGCGAGGCTGAAGTGGTAGAGTGCTTGCTTGACACAGATGAAGCCTTGAGTTCAAACTCAAGTACTACAACTAATTGAATGACCCCAGTACTGCAAATCAATGCCTGATTTTTTTTTTAAAGAATACAAAGATATGTTGGGGAGTTTCACAAGAACGTTTGACCTTGTAAACACACAACCAGGGTTCCTCCCTCCCAACCCAAGAGCAGCCTGCCCCTTCAGTATCCTTGGCTGCGTGGTAACTCTGTGCTTGGCAGCTTGAATCAAGCTGGGCCTGCTCAGTGCCAAGCACATGGGAGCAAATGGTGTGAAGTGATGCTACAGTATCCAGCGAGGAAGAGAGCCTGCATCTGTATTAGGGGTAGATGTCACAGGCATTTGGCAGACAATTGCCTTTAAATTTTTTTGTTATTATACAGGTGACATACAGAAGGGTTCTCGTTACATAAGTCAAGTAAAGCATACATTTCTTTTTGGACAATGTCACGCCCTTCCCTTGCTCTCTCCCAGTTTTTTCCTCCCATCCTCACCCACAAGTCCATTTTCAACATAGTGTCTAGTGAGCTCCACTGCTGCATTTGTTCGCCCTTTATCACTCCATTTCTGTGCCCCTTTACTTTCCCAAAGACAGAAAAATGAACAAACAAGACGAAAAGAAATAAAGACAAAGGAAACAAACATCTTGTTTCCATTCCCTGGGATTCATTTTGGTAAATATTATTTTATATGATCAGAGGTACAAAGGCATTGTGCCTTTGTGTCTCTCCCCTCCCACTCCCCGCCATCCCTCCCCCCACCCAAAGTATCCTCATTTGGACTCACTGTATGTGACTGCCTAGAAACCTGTATAATGTATTGCATCTCATGGTATTTTAGATCTAGCTTCCACACATGAAAGAAAGCGCACACCGTTTATCTCTTGCTTGTTTACCTCACATAACATGATTTGTTCTAGGTCTATCCATTTAAAATATATCCTTAGATAACTTCTTTTTGAAGTAATAGCAGAAATTTAATTTTACTCGATATGCCTTTTAAATTTTTTATTGTTATTATAAAGGTGATATACAGAGGGGCTGCAGTTACCTGAGTCAGGTAGAGAATACATTTCTTTTGAAGAATGTCACCCCTCCCCTCCAGCCCTCCCAGTTTTTCTCTCCCATCCCCACCCACAAGTCCTATAGTTCATTTTCAGCATAGTGTCTCGTGAGTACCGTGGCTGCATTTGTTAACCCTCTGTCCCTCCATTTTTGTGTCTTGGCCTTGCCTTATTCTCCCAAAGTCATATAAATGAAAAAAAAAACAGAACAAAAAGAAAACAAAACAACAACAAAAAAAGAAAAAAGAATTCCTGTATTCATTTCCTGAAGTTCATTTGGATGAATATTAGTTTACGGAATCAGATGCATGGAGGCTTTGTGCCTTTCTGTTCCTCTCCTAAAAGTGTCCTCCTCTAGTCTGGCTGTGTGTGAACACCTAATCAGACACGTAGGATTGAGATCTAGCTTCCACATAGGAGAGAAAACACGCACTGCTTGTCTCTGAGCTTGGCTTACCTCACTTCACATGATCTGTTCTAGGTCCATTTAAAATACTTCCTTAGATGTCTTCTGTACCCGGTCTTCTGTACAAAGACCGCGGCCATGGCCTCCTCTTCTGAGGAGCTGGAGTCCAGGCATGGTGGCAGTTGAGAGGAAAGACAAAGTTAGACCTGACCAACCATCACCCAGCTCCTGTTCTCCCTAGCTGGGTGACCTTCACTGTCACAGAGAGCTGCTTTGCCAGTCCCAAAGGAAAAGGAAAATCTGGCCCTTGGGTTTGGGGTGATGTTTATAGCTGTGAATCCCAGCCCAGGGTCAACAGATAGTATTCTGTTTCCTTTCTGCTGCTTCCAAGGCCTTAGCAGCCCAGAGTAATGGCAGTGACATGATGCATGAAGCTCAGACTGTGGACACTGTGTGGGTACTTCCTAGTCCTGGGAACTATCCCTCTGTCATTGTTAACATGTCAGCAGGACACTGTGGCAAATTCGTACGAACCCTAGCTTCTCAGGAGCCTGAGATCTGAGTACCACAGTTTGGAGCCAGCCCCGGCAGAAAAGCCGAGGAGATTTTTGTCTCCAATTACCCAGCAAAAAGCAGAAAGTGGAGGTGTGGCACAAGTAGTAGAGCACCAACCATAAGGGCAAAAGCCAAGCAAGAATGCCTCATCATGACAAGGGGCCTCTACTGCACATCATCGCTATACACTCAGCACCAAAAACCGTAACACTCTGACACACTGCCGAGTTCTCACTTACTTTGGACTCATTGTTCTTGAGTTTTGCTTCCTGTGGTCTGTTTTTTCTCATCCTCAGCGCTGTGGACATTTTGAGCCAGGTCAGTCTGTGTTGTGAAGGGCTCTCTTGGTGTTTCAGGATGGTCAGCAACATTTCTGGCTTCTCCTCGCCGAATGTGAATAGCTGCCAGTTGTTAACAATTAGGAATATCCTTGTATATTGCCATGTGTCCCCTGGGGGCACATGGAGCCTGGTTGAGAAGATTGAGCCTGATTGAGAAAAGCACCTTCCTGTTCAGGTGTGTGATGCTTGGCACCTCAGAGTCTGCGGTTCTAAACCCATTGTAAAGGCCATTGATGGTCACTGCACACACCGTCTACTTGTAAGGCAATCCAGCTGAGCCCACCTCCTACCCCATACCCCATACCATGACTCACACAGTGGCAGAACCATTCTGAGCACAAGTCTGCACTGCTCCAATGGGCAGCGTGCTTGTGCGGAGACACTGGAAGTAAGGACGTACCAAAAAGACAAAGGCACTAAGATAGCTCAGCACGTCCGTCCGGCCATGCCTGTTGACTTGCCCAATGCTCCCCGCCCTCCTTTACTTCCCTTTCTCCCCTTTGTGTTTATTGATGTCAGTCATCTCCTGACCCTTCCAGAGCCATTTTGCAAATGGAAGGCAGGAAAGAAGAATGAAGAAGAGAAGAAAAAGGAAAAAGGAGGTAAGAATGCAAGCATGGTGTCACGGAGAGATAAGCCCAGAATTATTAGCTTTGACTCTCCCCTCCCCACCCCCCATCCATAGAATTGGGTCCGTGCTATCAGTTTGATGTTCAATATTAGGTTGGAATGGTTCTGCCACTGTCTGAAGATAGCCTTCTTATTGTGGAGAGACTTGGGTTTTGAGACTATCTGGTAGATGCAGCTCAGATTTTCCCACAAGGAGAGAGCGTTGGTGTGGGGTAGCCTCCTTGGGTAAGATGGTAGCACGCTGGCATGGTATCTGATAAAGCATTTGAGCCTGGAAGCTGAAGGAACACGAAGAATTTTTGAAGCCTCGTCTGTCGTAGTTGCCTGTGTCACATTACCCTGAATTGAAGCCTTTGGCCATCATCTTTTTCTTGTAGTAGTACAGCTCCAGAGCTGGCATTCGACACATTTTTCTTCTTTGGACTTTTTTTTTTTTGGCGACAAGGTCTTCTGTGTCCCCGTCTAGCCTTAAACCTAGAATCTTCCTGTTTTTGCCACCTTCTGAATGCTGGGTGTATAGGCATACTCCACCATGCCCAGCCACAGCATCAAACTTTCTTCATACAGCTTTTTTTTCTCTCTCTCCAGCTCTCAAGAACATTTCTGATCCTAGGGGAGGAGAAATGATTTGGTCTCTCCTGATTATAGAAATCATACATGATTTTGAGTGTGTTCTACTTCCTCTAGCACAAAGATCTACCATGATAGCTGCTGGTTCACTCACCTTATCCCAGCCTCACACATGCACAAAGCGGGTTGTGGAGTGACAGAATGAATCAGAGCTTTCTATCTGGGCCATCCTGGGTCCCATGGCCTAGCTTGTTGCATGTCTATAAATGGAGTTCCTCTTTCCACAATTTTCCTCTGTTCCTTAAAAAAAAAAAAAAACAACAAAATAGCACAAAGCAAAAAGCAACAGAAATTAGTCTCAGCTTTTCTGTTATTTCTATGCAAATGTGTAAATGTAAATATTACTGCTTGACTATGGATCAATTTGCTTGTTGATATAAGTATACCCATGGTATTGGACTCTTCTTATGGAGTTAAAGTAGAAGATCATACATATAAAAAAGAGAGAAAGAAAGAAAGAGAGAGAGAGAAAGAAAGAAAGAGAGAAAGAAAGAAGGAAAGAAAGAGAGAAAGAAAGGAAGAAGGAAAGAAGGAAAGAAAGAAAGAAAGAAAGAAAGAAAGAAAGAAAGAAAGAAAGAAAGAAAGAGAAAGAAAGAAAAGGACAAAAAACTTGGTATCTCTGGTCCAGTCCCAGCTAAGCTCAAGTCCCAGATCTGTGACCTTACGTGGCTTGTCTCTGTGCCTCTCTCTCTTAGCTGGAAAATGGGTACAGTTAAGCCACAGGCCCCCTTCACAAGGCCATGGTCAGGATGAGTATGGATGGCCACTAATTTGGCTTTCTATCAGTTCTTCCCATTGATAATCATAATTCACTAGCAATTACTGGAATCTGTCTGAAGAATGGTGGTGTTGGTTTTGCAACATTTTTCTGCTCTGACTCAGTTTTCTTCTGTTTTTCTTTTAGGTTCCATTTTTTGGGAGGAGAATGCACCATACTTGTCCATGTCTGCCAGGCTTGGCTTGTTTACGGACTTCATTTAACCGGTTTATTTGTCTAGCCCGAAAGTAATTGTGTTGGAGTAGAAACTTTAAATGTGAACAGCACACCATGTCTGTAACGTCTTGTGATTGTGCCAAACAAATAATGCCAGAGAGCTTTTTGCTTTCTCTACTTTCCAAGTAACTTCCCCCCCACACCCCCATCTTTGATTTTAAAGTGATTTTTTTTTGTTTTAATTGAAAAGAAATTTTGGTTTTTGGATGGAAATGCAAAGTGCAAAGCATTACGGGAACAGTTCTCATTTCTCTGTTTAGGTTTTGTTTAGGTTTTTCTTTTATGCCAGTAACTCGCCATTTTCAAGGAGGAGAATACGAACTGATACTTTTGTTAGAGACATTTTTTTCTTACCACTCCTTTCTCAACCCCTGCCCTAACTCCTCACACACACACACACACACATACACACATTTTATTCTCGCTGTCTTCTTATCGTTAAAGAACCTCAATACCTTTACTTTCTCCACCATTGGCCTTCCCACCACTTTAAAGTGGAGTTCTACCCCATTAGCATGTTAATGGAATTGCCAGTTAGAATTCAGCTGTTCCTCAGATTAGAGATACAACTTAATTCTGACTAAGGAGTTCATTTGAACTAAAGGCTTCAACTTCTCTTACGGAGTGAATATTGGAAGCAGTTCTAGAAGGTTCCTGAGCCTCCATAACCCAATGGACTTCAGTTGATTGGTACGAGGAAAGAACAGAACAGAAGTCCAATTAATATTGTCTAGATTGCTAGCTTTGGTATTTTATTTAAATAAAAGATATCATTCCCCATACAACATTACATTGGTTTCTCTTTATGACTTTTTTAAAAGTCTCCTAGTTAGAGATGTTCTCCAAAATGTCACTTGATGAGGAAGTATTGATTTTAATATTGCATAACACTAGTTACTATTCTACAATTGGTGTTGTTATTATTTAAATTTTTATTTGTAGCCCAAAAGTCTATTGTAGTAGATTTGCCTGATATCCTGACATTTGTGCTGGTATCAATAGCTCTGTGCAAAAATTCTGTATCAGAATAATGACAGTACTGTATATCACTTGATTATTTTAATATTATATCCTTACTTTCATCACGGTGGTCATCAGTCTTTATTACAAATAGGTGTCTGTGTAGGCTAATCTGAAATGGCGCAAAGACCGAGAAGTTATTAAACTAGCCCTAATGCTCTATTCATTTTCATGCGGGAAAGTTGTGTGTTCTCGTGAATTTTCAGGTTGTAAAACAATGAGAAAACCTGAGTCCTGAAGGAAAATGACAACATGAAAAACCGAGGGTCACAGTGAATGGAGACTGGGCCCTCCCGGCAACAGCTGAGGCGGGGGCTGGGTGCCAGCCAGACCCCATGCCCATGTGCTTTGGGCCTGGAAGAACCCGAAGGTAAATCGATTTAATGTCACCAATAAACCACATATGAGATGTGAAGTGTAACGGACTCCACTGGCCCATGCCCACCCACGGACTTTCCAAAACAACAACAATCCCTGGGGGATTGACAGCTGCCCCTGGCACGCCCTCTTTCCCCTGGCCCAGAAGAGTGCAGACACGGATGGGATTTTGTGTGGTAATTGCTGTTTGGAGAGACAAGTGTCTGTTCAGGTTAGTTAATGTTCACGAGACATTCCTCAGCAAGTTCTAGGAAACACATTTGACCTGTCCACACAGTCTTACCTCTCCCTCCCCACTTGTTCTTTTTAAAGCACTTTTGCTAGATTTCTTTCCATATGATAGTCAATCCATCCTATTTTCATAGGTGGTGAAAACTCAATTGGCGTAATCCCCCATTTTCATCAAAGTTAAACACATAACCAACCTTTAAACAATCCAGTTCTGTTTTGTTTTAAAGCTAGTACCTAAAAGGAAAGGCTCCACATCCAAGAGAACAAATGTGCAGTTTGTGTGGAAAATTAACCATGAATGGTACCTGCTCCTCACCCTGCCAACCAAAGATGCATATGACTTTGCCATTTGTTGCCTTTCCCCTGGATCATTGCTCCTGTTTTTCTGTTTGTATGTTTTTATTTCGTGTGTGTGTGTGTGTGTGTGTGTGTGCGCGCGCGCACGTGCGTGCGTGCACTATGCTACTGGGGCTTGAATTCAACGTCTGGGTGCTGTCCCTTAGCTTTTTCACTTAAGGCTTTGCCACTTGAGCCACAGTTCCACTTCAAACTTTGGTGGTCCACTTGGAAATAAGAGGCTCATAGATATTCCTGCCCAGGCTGACTTGAACCATGATGCTCAGATCTCAGCCCCCTAATTATCTAGGATTATAGATGTGAGCCACCAGCACTCAGCTACTCCTGTTGTTTTCAGTATGCCTTTGTATTTGGACATCATTGGAGAGTATCTTTTAACTTGTTACCAAAATCAACATCTTTCAAATAATTGCTTCTAAAGTCTTGGAATCTGGGAAGTTCTTTGAGTTTCATGCAAAGCACTCAGGGTCTTGCGTGGTGAAGGCGGTGGGGCTGTTTCTTCCGGCTCCTAGGATGGTTTCTCACAGTTCTGGGACTTTGTACTGGCTAAAGCAAGTGGAGATTGTCAGAAAAGAGACAAAGTCAACAGTCTATTTTGGTAAAAATATGAAGAATGAATTCTATCCATTTTAAGGTAGAAAGAGATGTTAGGTCAGAAGCTAGTGACCAAACTTAGGTGAACCTTTGGCTTTCTTTGTCATGATTGACTTCCATAGAAAGTACCCCTTCTGTTTTTCACCTTTCATTAAAAAGAATGTAATTAGCTGGCAGCCAGTGGCTCATACATCATCTGAGGACTGCGGTTCAAAGACTTCCTGCACAACAAAGTCCTTAAGACCCCAGCTAACCAGCAAGAAGACAGAAGTAGAGTTGTGGATCGAATGGTAGAATGCTAGCCTGGAGCACAGAAGCTCAGAGACAATGCCCAGGCCCTGAGCTCAAGCCCCAGGAACAGAGGGTGTGTGTGTGTGTGTGTGTGTGTGTGTGTGTGCTTATGTGTGCGTGCATGAGCAGGCATGTGTGTACGTGCACACGCACACCCATATTTCAGCAGTAGCTCATGCCTGTAGTCTTAGCTACCCAGAGGGCTGAGATCTGAGGATGGTGATTTGGCAGAAAATTCATCAAGATTCTTATGTCTAAATAACTAACAAAAAGCTAGAAATGGAAGTATGGTTCAAGTGGTAGAGCATTAAGTGAGAGCATGACATCTTGAGTTCAAGTCCCAGTAGTAGCATATACATACACATGCACACACACATACACACACATGCACACACATGCACACACGCGCGTGCACACACACATGCACACACATACACATGCACACACATGCATACACACACACACACAATCTTCTTTTGGGCATAGAACATTTTATAAACTTTCCTTACAAATTTTCCCATCCAAGTGACCACCGCAGCACTAGATCTAGCCACCAGCTACGTCTGCATCTCTAGTGCTGTCAGAAATCCCATCCCACTCATTTTCAGAAAAAGAAAAAAGAAAAGATTAAATTCCAGGAGTATTTGAATTTAAAAAGCCAGGACATTTTCTGTGACTTAGTGAGGACCACTGTAAAGCCCCCTGGCAACTCTTAGCAATCTTTTCATCTTCACATTGCCATGTATTTCTGAAAATATCCTTGGAATATCATCTTTGGTTCTATAATGCCTTCCCTAATTTTTTGCTTCCCAGTGATCACTTTTGCATGAAAGAAAAAACGTATTTTTTCCAGTATTTTCATTGGTCAATACAACTTGACATATATATATATATATGTGTTGTACAACATATTTGGGGGTAAGTACACTTTGTGGAATGATTAGGTTGAGCTATGTGCTTTTGGTTGTGAGAACATTCGCCTACTCTGAGTGTGCCATATTAATTATAGTCACAATGCTGACTGAGACAGCTGGCACCCAGCATTTATTAATACATCTTAAAGATGTCCGTCTTTAATAATGAGACGCATAAGTGAATTGTATTATCCCCTGCCCCCAAATTATACATAGGCATATGTGTGTGCATACACACATATTTATTCACATATAGAGAAATAGATATTCACACCTATTTGGGAATGCCCAGAATGCGTGTTTCCTAATTTTACAAGTGCCATCAGTGTGCTATTCTTTCCTTTGTCTTTGAGACCAGTCTCCCTGCACTCCCCAGCCTCTCCTGCACTCTGAATCCTCCTACCTCAGCCTCCCAGGTTTCATGTAGACAGGCCCAGCTCACACGCCACCCTCCAAGTCCAGTCATCCACCAAGGGGTGTCATTTGATTTGTCAGGGTGAGACCTAGATGTTGAGATTTTTTTTAAGCTTCTCAAATTCTAAGGTGGATCCAAAATTGAATGCCACTGAGAAAGAACAAAGGTCCACTCTTGTATGCAAAGGCTAACCATGACAATATTGACTGAGATATTTCTCTCGTTTCATGAGAAGGGAAGGAAATGGCTCAATATCTTCTTTATTTTCCTGCCACCCTCCGAAGTTCCTGTGACCCTTAGCATGAATAACTCTATTTACTTTCATTCTACATCGAGGCTTGCCAAGGGTCAGCACTGGAGAATTCAGTGGCAGTTATATGTGTAGTTCTCTGTATAACTATATATACACACTTATTATATAAATACACATAAACGTATAACTATATAGTATAAATATGTAATGTGTGTTATTATTTTATATTTAATAAATATGCATTTAAGTCTGTGCTCCCTAGAGCTATGACGATGCCCTGGCTTCACCCAGCTGCTCCCTGCTCTCCTGTGGCCTAGGACCTTAGGCTTGATTGCAAGTCCTTCCACATCTCCTATAGGTATTTTGGGGGACCTGACCTTTGAACCAACCCCAACAGATGCCCTTGCATCCCAGGATTTCATTCTGTCCTACAGAGTCTAAATCATCAGAATGTCTGAGGTCCAATTTGCACCACATCATAATTGAATAAATCAGACCTACAATCACTGCAATCCAATATACCCAAAGCAAGAAGGTGGGAAATTGTTCTGACTCCTGGTGACAAAAGTGCACAAGTCTGTCTGTGGGTCTTATGTGCATTCAGAGCCTGTGTCCTGGGGCCACGTGTGGACCAAAGGATGAAGTCTGGAATGCTCCTGCATGCAGTTGTCCCAGCAAGGCAAATCTTGGCCTACTGTATAGAGCGACAGCTGGAGAATATTTCCACACCCTTGCTCACACCAGTCCTGTCCTAGGTTTCTTCACCTGGATGCTAAGAATGTTCTGGGCCATGTTATATGAGGCCTTCAGTGGAGTTGAAGCAGCTCCCCTGGTGACTACCCATTAGGTGCCAGTCACATCTTCCTATTTGCACAACCTGAGTATCTGAAGATATTGCCTCATGCCTGGAGGTGGCAGGTGGGGAGAAAAGGCAT